CCTAAATCCAAGTTTCAGGATTCCAATTCCATTAGTGCAAATTTTTAGAACTCCCTACATATCTCAATCTTACACCTAAACAATGATCCTGTCTCCAAATTTTATGATTCTAACTCAATTTGTTCACCTAAAATTCAAATTGTACCAAATTTAGTACCATTTAGTACCCATAAGTAATAATGTCTTAAACTGAGTCCTGACCCCAATCCTACACCCCTACAGTGATCCTGACTCCAAATTTTTCGGTCATATGATAACATGAATTTCTTCTTAGGAGCTCCCATTATTTTAGATATTTTGAATGTCTTTCTAATTGTGGGGGTATAAAAGGTTTGGCCCGAACTTATCATCGTTGTTACTTGTATATGTTACTTTTCGTCCCGCAGATATACGCCCTTAGCCACACACAGGTTATATTATTTTTTCAAAAATGTTTCGGATTTGATATATACATCAATTCTGTTATTCAATTCGATTCAAATAAAAATGTACAAGTTTATATAATATTGACCCTTAATGAGGGAGGTTCCGGACCGACAAGCCCCAATTTCGGACTTGATCTACGCTTGATAAAGATAATAGGTAATGAAAAGATTGGTCCACATCGGACATTTTATTTGCTTGGATTTATAAATATTGAAAATGTTGAAGATGTTAGAAGAAGAATTGAACCAATGGGTCCCATCTTCAGGCTTGATCTAGGTAATGATAATAGGTCATACGAATTGTTTTTAGTCTGCTCTCACGATATTATGAAATTAATTTTTAACAAAATGTTCACCATTTTGTGGTGGAGACATCAGAAGGAGTGGACCGATATTCCCTATCTTCGAACTTGAACTAAGATTGGAATAAATATTACGATTTGCAAAGTTTTAATGAACGTTATGGTGTACACTAGCCGGCCAGACCGACTTCAATTTGTCGGAAACGGATTTCATCCAAAGAAACATGGGGTCTAAAACCAATATTTCAATGCAGCACATTTTTGCCGTATCATAAGGCTGAGGGTATAACAAGTAAAACAAGTTCGGGCCGACATTTCTATGCCTTTTAACATAATGTTCACATTTAAAATAATTCGGTCGAGATTGAAAACTTCGGCAAGCACCCTTAATGTAGCGAAATGGTGTGCGATTTGTATATGGGAGATACGTCAAAAAATGTCCCTATATTAAAAATTATCTGCGAATAAGTTTTGTACCCACCAAGAATCCGGAGTGTCAAATTACCGTTACTACGATTGAAGATCCGTTCAGGGCCATTAAAAATACCCAAAATTGAGTCGAAACTTGATACGGGAATATGTTTTTAACACTCCATGATCCGGAATTTCAAATTGAATCTACTTGATTGTGACATGCAACTTACACAACCAAAATACCGAATATGACGTCTATACCAAAACGTGAACCGATGTATCTAATGTTCAATACTAAACATACTTTGAGCTGTTACAAATTGTATGACACCTTCGTGACTCATAACTGATCTGTCAAAAATTGCTATTGTTAAGCAATATGTCTACTCACCCTAAATAAATCGACTACACAATGTAGGCCCATTTTAGGTATTTTTTTTTTGTCCTAAACACATTTTTCGAAGACATCGTCTTTTTTTAGGCATTTATATATATCTACGAATATTTTACCATGTTAATCGGGTTATTAGACATATATGCAATGGAATTGACAATTTAAATTTATTGGGTTAACGAAATCCTGTAAAATGTAAATGTTATATTGTACCAAATTTAAATTTAAAACATACTTCCCGATATGTAATGTGACCTATAAAAAATGGTATGAGAATACATCGTACTAAAACCACATGAAAAACATGAGCAAAATAAATAATTAACTTAATTTCAATTTCAGCTTCTACCCCTCACCACATAGGTGCAATATATTATTTCCATTACATTCTCTTTTAATTTTGTTGTTCTATTTCTTTTCTACTTATATTCTCAGCATTCGATTAAGTGATTGCATTTTGTTCTTAATTGACCAACACATTTCTGATGTTTCGATTTTTTTTTCTTTTTTTATTTTTCTTGCAGACTGACATCGATTTGCACGGCTTGAATTGGCAACTTTAAGGCAACGCTTTGTCTGCTGTTCCTTTTGGACTGGACTATCTGCAGCAAAATGCTTATTTTCTAGCAGACGGGGAGATTTTAATTTCCTTTGCTTATTCCTCTCCTTATTTTGTTTTTCATTCATTCTTTAATGGAGGATGAAAAGAAATGAAATGGAATAGAATAGAAGCAAAGCCGAAACTCAACAATAAAATCGAAAAGAACAACAACAGCAACTAAATAATTCAAATACTGCCCTTAATAATACAACAATACAACAACAACAACAATTGAAACAAAAGGCCGTGTATTTTAGTGGTCAAATGAAATGATTTTCTCAAATCCCGCCCCAAATATAACAAAATAAATTGGTAAGTAATGAAACATATACTAATTTTTTGACCCCACAATTCTGCCAGGAGGTTTTTTATCCTGTAAGAAAATGTAATATTAAATTAATGTCGCCCAACTTGATATATTCTTGCTAGGACCTTAAAAATACAAAAAAATTATCCCCTATATTCAGACGTTTGTAGATGGTGAGCAAAATTATCAATATCGGTCCCCGCTTTGGTATATCCCCCATAAACCGAACCGAATTGTGGAGTTAATTCCATATTTTGCGAATTGCGAACGTATTAAATTATCCCAGGCGCATTTGTTTTCCAACAGAATTTACTGTAATGTAGGATTATATAGGATTTTGACATAACTCGGCATGTTGAAAGTCCTAGCTAAAATTTCCGGTATGTAATTTTCCTGATTCTAATATGGTACATTGTATTCTCAGGGAATAAAAACCCTCCTGGTTTCATGTTTTTTTGAATGTTGGGTTCGCAGAATCCCAAAATACAAGTAAAACCAGTGAGCGGAGCAATATAGTCGGACGGGGCCGAACATACGATACCGTACATAACTACCACGGAACTCTAACTTTCTGCGGAGTTTTATTCCAAGCCTGGGCAATATTTCGTTATAGTTGCACCCTCTTTCCCGATGAGAGGCCAAAAGCCTCTACACTGACATAAATTCCGAATATTACTAATATTCAGTACAGCCCTTCAAATTACTTGGCCATATTCCCTTACCCGTGGGTTGTGTTGTGATGCTCGGTTTATAATTGTAGGTTATAATTTGAAACGAAAAAAAAAACACAAAAAATAAGTTTTAGGTTCACTTCATCCCAAAATTATTATCTGATCATCACCGAAAATTATAGACATTGTACTTGACCATAACGGGAACCTCATGGAACATTTCAAAGCGCCCTTTCCGCCCTTTAGTGTGGTAACGGTTTATTAAATAATATCTGAATACGTGTAAATATTTACGTGTAACTCCCACATCCGAATACATACGACAATATAATTGGTATCAATTTAAATGTCAACCACTCCTCTTGGATATACTGTCAACTTCTCGGGTCTATGTCCTTCAGGAGTAAATAAATACGTTATAGATTAAAAATTTTGTCATTTTTCACACAAAAGTCGGGGTCCATTTGACCCGCTAAATATTGACCGATCTTTATTAAAACAGACATGCTTATTCTTTGTCCCAATCCCTTTCTCCTTGTAAAAATTGGCGATGTTTGGGCCATAATTGCGGCCTCTGGAGCGACCAGAAAATCAGACAAAAATAAAATTGTTGGTCCATTTCATCCCCTAAATATTAACCGATCTTTTGGAAAAACTGAAGAGATCTTCATTGGCCAGAACCCATCCTACATGCAAAATTTCGTGAAGATTGGTCCATAACTGTGGCCTGTATCGTGTTTACAAATTATAATGGACAGACGGATCGACTCAGCTAGTCGAGATATGACGATCGGTATACTTAAAGGTGGGTCTAGGAATAATATTTCGCGGCGTTAGAAACTCTTGGGGCTGCACACAGCTATAATACCCTGACAACATAGTTGTGTAGGGTATAAAAATGTCAGTCGGTTTTCCCGACACATATATATCCCTAGCATATGGTTCGCTGAGGTATTCGTAATTACACACAGGTTTTATTATTCACTTTAATCAAATCGGTTATTTAATTGGCTTCAAATAAAATTTACAAGTTTATATAACACTGGCCCTTTTTGAGGTAGGTACCAGAAGAGAGGTAAGATGGGTCTCACCTTCGGACTTGATCTAGGCTTGGTAAAGATAATAGGTTGTGCAAAGTTTGGTTCAATTCGGATAGTGTTTTCGCATGCTATTATAAAAATATTTTTTGGCACAATTTTGACCATTTTGTGGGGGATGTACCAGAAGGAGTGGATCAATATTTACCATCTTCGAACATAAACTATGTTTGGAAAGAATATTACGATGTGCAAAGCTTGGATGAAATCGGTTACTCCCTTTGAGAGTTATCGTACGCACCAGCCGACCAGACGGACGGACGGCCATTCTTAAATCGACACCAAATTGTCTTAAACGGATGTAGTCCGTGGGGTCTAAAAGCCATATTTCAATGAGGTACATACCCATAAGCCATAGGCAGAGGATATAAAAATTACTCAACATCGTTAGTAGGACAATTCAACAAAAATGTCGACCTTCGAGTCCGGGGTGTGCATTCAAATTTCCTTAAATCGTTCGGGCCTTTGTATGAGTTCTATTCTATTACATTGTGTGGTAGTAGGATGTTCAAGCTCTGAAAAAATAACGTTGGAAATTACAGGTAAAATTTCGAAAACTGGGGAAGGAAAATTAAACGGGGTATTTGGGGGCAATTTTAAAATAAGCTAAATATCTTCAATAGGGGTTTCACAGTCACAAATTAAAACTTTTTTAAATAAATATATCAATAATATATTTCTACTTTCGTTTCAGCGTTTTAATCCCACAGAATATAAAATAAAATACAACCAGTGGAGTTAACGTGTGTCCTTCAAACACACACACAGAAACCAATAGTGAAACTACGCAAATTTTCATATCACCACTAACGGGAAGAGCAGTGGACATTTAAATATTATTATTTGTATAAAAGTTTTATAACGATATGGCCGGTTGCTGTGATACAACAGTAAGTACATTTTCCCTTATCCATATTATGTGACATATCTACACATACATATATGTGAATACCTGTATATGTGGGCTTTCTTACAAGCCCAAAGACGTCTACAAATCTATCTTTGGCAAGGTTTATGGCAATATAAATACAAAATTTGCCCTGCAGTAACTCTTCGTTACCATTTCAATATATACGAGTATATATGAACGTATTATTTGGCAACTGTTCAATATTAACAATACGAAGAAAAAAATGCAGGAAAAAAACTATAACAAGTAAATGAAACAAATCCACCATGTTAACATTTAACATTCCACACACACACAAACGATGACAGTGCCTTAGTACAAGGGATTCTCACTTGTTGTTGTTTTTTTTTTCTTTTTGTATTATTTGCAACAAGGATTTCCTAGGTCTGTTTCCTTCTATTGCCGTTTATTTTTCTTTGCTAAATAAACTGTAGATAAATATAAACACAAGCAAATATCGCTAAATAAATTCTGTACAGCCGGTGTTCAGGGAAATGCAAACAATCAAAACCGAAATTGTAACGATACAACATCTGGCCATAGAAATAACAAATAATGTCACATATATCGTCGTACATAGATATACAAATATATTTTCTTAGTGTTGATAAATATTGTTGTTGTTGAAAATCAAAAAACCCTGTTATTGTGAATTTATTAACTCAGATGTACTCAGAGCATGCTGGCAGTAAAGTTTATATTTCTTTAAGTTACTGAACTTTTCTAATCTGAATACTGAGGCTCTGTAGAACATAACAGTAAATACACAGTATATTCTGCAGAGCCTCAATATGCAGATTAGACCTTTTACAGTACATAAAATGTCTAATCTGCATAATAACACATAACATAACACATAATTTTAAACATAACAGCTGTACTACATGCAGTACAATCGACATAACAACTGTGTAGTAAACTCGGTATTAAGCCAGATGGCTTAAATAGGCTCATTTTTCTCCATTGGGTACATCATCAGGGGTTTATGAATGTAAAATGATTTGTGTCCTTTTGTCTTTTATTCCAATTTCTCCAGAAACTTCAGGCAAATATACAGTGGTGTACCTTTCATAATGAACCCTTATCAAATCATGCAATATCGAATATATGCAGATGAGAGAAATGTCCAGGGATGCCTCTAGCATTGTTTTTTTGGCACAACATTTAAACTCATTAAATCAGAATCAGTATGGTATTGAAATCAGAAGATGCCGCCCTACATTCCATAATTGCCCTTGTGTGGTACCGCCTTCTATTCTGTATTTCCAAGACGTATTTTTGGACTAAAATGGAAATCCACGTTCTTGGACCAACAAAAGGATCCATGCCCATTTTGTGAATGTATGTTTTATTAGGCCCTAGCCTCATGTTCCAACTGAAGTGTCTGGAACTTCGAGAGATCGCCCTCGGACTTGATCTAGGCTTGGTGAAGTAATTGGTTCTACAAAGTTTGGTTCAAATCGGACAATCGGTTCGCATGATATTATAAAGCTAATTTTCAGCCGTGGACCGATGTTCCTCATCTTCGAACATAAACTAAGTTTGGAAGAAATATTACGATGCGCATCAGCCAGGCAATTAGACAATGGGACATTTGTAAATCGACACCAAATTGTCTGAAACTAATTTGATCCAAAGAACCACGGGCAATGATGAGCAAAGTGTATATATATCCATAAGCCGAGCTTAAAAGAGATTTCCAAAGCGTCGGTCTTGTGCGCAGCTTATGCAATTCGAAAGACCATGTTCCGAGATGCTGTCTCCCACTTGATCTTTCTATCGGATTCTTGGCCTGCAATCCTCTAGCCACATTGTAATAATCAGTTGGTGCATGCTCCCGACCAGCATCATACTTTATTATTCTTCAGCCGATTGATTGCTATTCTGACCTCATCTTCGCTTGGTGGTATATACCCTATACCGTAATCTCTTATTAGTGCTGGGGTATCTTCTTCACCGCCACTATTTGATACCAACAGCTTTTCAAAATGCTACTTCCAGATCCTTAACACGTTGTCTGTATCTGTAAGTATCAGTTAAATATCCTAGCAGAATTTTAATGTTATGGTCACGACAGCGGTCATGTTTCTAGTCGCTCGTAAAAAATGTCTTGAATCTGTTCATTTTTGTCTTCCGTCGGAGCATGGGCGCAAATAAGACTGATATAGAACAACTTCGCATTTTTAAGGATTACAACTATTCGCTTATCTACTGGAGTGAATCTGGAGACGAGGTCTTTTATTCTCCTATTAACTATAAATCCGCAATCTCGTTTCGTGGCAGCAATAATACAATGCTTAATCATCTGATTTACTTACGCCAGACCCTCTCCATCGCATTTCCTGTAAGGCAATAATATCGTCTTTGAACTTCTTGAGTGTATCCGCCAAGGCGAAAACGTCTCAACCCATTTTTTATAAAAGCAGTTCACTATTTCAACGGATAAGGAAAGCAGTTACAGCAGGTGCCACCGCGGAGAGATCAGTGTCCACAATTGAGATTAAGGAGGGATCAAGATAAGCCGGGCTTTGCCATGTTAAAACCAATCAGAGCCGTTGCTTGGTATCTATCATCCCCTACGTTACACCCATGAAATCTATGGTAGTATACATATTAAGGCTTACAAAGTTTTGACCTAACAGTATTCTTCATTCCCTTTGTTTAATGAGTACGTTTGTATTGAGGAGCTAACCATCTGTGGAAAGATACCAGGAGAAACCCTTCTGGTTCATCCTGCTGGAAATGCATGGGTATTACTAGGTGCAAAGTTGCGATGAAATATATAACAGCCTTTTCTGAAACGGATTTTTTTCAAATAAATTTGAGGAAAACAAAGATATAACGCTTCTTCTTCATGAATTATGAAGTCACCAGCAAAAACTTATTACACCCTAACATAAATCTTGAAATCTTAACGTAATGTGAATGTGCCCTTTTATACCATGGATTTTCATCCAAAGGCATTTTCCAACACCTCCATTTTGTCACATACTACGACCGTTGATCCCCTACTTCCTTAAATAATTTTCATAAATAAATAGAAAGTATTCCAGCAAGAATATATAAATAACTGTCACATATATATAGAAAATATTCTTACATTATTTGGACACAAACATGCGTAGACAATTAAACGGAAGTTATCATTGGAAGCACAAAACATCGACAAAATATTTATGGTTTTGTTTTTTGTGTTTTTTTTTTACAAATGAAAACGTACCCAGGAACACATTAACTTACTGACACAATGAACGAATGAATAAATAACGCATACAAGCACACATATTTCCATTTTCGAAGGACTTTCTTTTCTTGCGTCCGTGTATGGGCATGTATACTTGTGTGTGTGATTTTTGTAAATAAAAACTTAATAGACCTAAGTCTGTTGCCATGGACTTCCTCTTCCCCTCTCTGTCACTCCCTCTAGCTCTTCATCATCATTTATGATGAATGCTTAGAATATTGCATTCCGTTCAGTTTCCAGCAAATCTGCAGTGGTTATGACGTTAGTTGCGGCGGTGTTGGTTCTTCGTTGAATGCTCTTGGCTGTTTCTTCCGAAATAATTATCCTCAAATGCTTTATGTCAAGGTTTTGTTCAGGGTTTTCTTATGAATGCGATTCACAGAAACACAAACACCAACACGGAAATAACCACAGATACAAATACGTGCACAGATAGTTGTTGCTGAAAGTAGTCTCCGCATATCATATGTGAAATTGTAAACATGCCCCAGTCAGCATCGTTGGCTGACTTTCTCCAATACCGAGATACCGATGTCGGTATGAAGAGTGAAAAAACCTAGCAAATGAACTAAACGATTAAACATAACTGCTGCCAGGGGTTCCCCCTTTTGCTTTTTGTTCTGATGTTGAGTCTTTGTTGGAATTTTCTTCATTTTTCTCTGTGTTCATATTTAAAAAAAATATGTGAAGAAATCTCTGCTTGTGAATGCTAGAAATAAGGGGGAAGGCTAACAAACCCCCTGACTTTGGTCTGGGGCGGCTAAACAAAATGTGCCACCCGTATTTAAGCTTTGGTAGGTTTTAGAAAAGGGTTTACTTTTTTCTCTCTTAGAAAATCTCTACATTGACAAAGAATAAAATGAAAAGCAAAACAAGAGAATCAGCCAGCCGAAGCAATCATATGTTCATTCACACCCACATACTTACATACCTGCCATACAATGTTCGGCGACATTTGCATAATAGCATTGCTTTAAGCTAATGCTTTCTGTGTATGTAAATATAATCCAAATGTGCGGGTGTGTTGGTGAATTTAAATTTAGAAAGCATTTAAGTGTGGCTGTGAGTCCATTGGCTTTAAAAAAAAAAAAAAATAAATTCAACCATCTAAAACATAACCTCAAATGCATAATTTGAGTAAATATTTGTACAAGTCAACGTCATCATGAAAATGCCTACTTTGTAGTTGACGTTGTGTTTATAATTATCGTCATCATAAAATAAAATAATCAACGTTGCTTCCTCTTCTGTCTGTTCATTCATATAATTTTCTTTCTACTTTTCCTCTGAATATCAGCCATGTACTGTGGATTTTCCATATCAAAATATAAAAATTTCTACGATAAAATATTTAAATTTTACACATGTCTCGAAAGTGGGACCTTAAAAATATTTTAAAAAAAATACGCCTTGTTTGGGACTTTGAAAGCATTTACAAAAAATCCACGCCTTGTTTGGAACCTTGAGAAAATATTTAAAAAAAATCCATGCCTTCTTTGGAACCTTGAACAATATTTTTTAAAAAATCCACGCCTTGATTGGAAAATTAAAAAAAAAATATTTTTAAAAACTCCACGCCTTGTTTGTGACCTTTAAAAAATATGTTTAACTACTCCGCTTTGTTTGGGATAATTCACAGCATATTTGGGACCTTGAAAACATAATTTTAAAAAATCCATGCCGTGATTGGGACCCTTGAAAGACTATTTAAAAAAATGCATGCCTTGTTTGTGACC